TTTGACATGTTTCTTTTAAAATTATTTCGTTTCTTAATTATTACAATTTAATTTGTAATATCAACTAAAATACCTAGTAAATTTATTTCTGCTGGGATTTTATTTTTACAAATTCGGGTCCAAATTGTAATTTTTATCATTTTCGCTTACGAAACAACGGGCTAATGGGATATGTAAATATCGCTTTAATATTTAGGTAAATTTTCGTTTTTCATTTTCTCCGAGTATTAGTGATGTTACCCTATTAAGTGAACAAGTGATATTTTATTAGTAATAAGAGTGTAGCGACTAATTTATTTCTACGTTATCCTTAAATGCAACTGTACATGCATGTACTGCAGGTATTTGTGCAATTGTGACGCATACTTGGTACATGGACAGGAAGGCGACAGGAGTTGACGTAATTTAACTGGTACAACATTCTCGATGGTCTTTGAAGTGTAATTTAAGACTTAAAACCAATTTACGATTGAAAAGTTTAATGTATTGGCACATTTACAAACATCATGACTGATTTAGACCGATACCAATGCCGAAATCGATCTATCTCGTTCACCTACATTTCACAATTAATATCGCAAAAGAAAATTACTTAAATCAAGAATGGAAACAACAAATTTGTGCAAACCTACTTTTAAAAACAAAATCAAGGAATAAGTACACACATCTCTGATTTAGCTCCACAAAAGAATTAATCGTACCGCATTTTTGGAACGCCTAATTTATCTAATAGTAAATAACCTGTTTTTCTAAAGTTACCAATAAAACATAGAAACCACGACATATAATAATCGTGAATGTAGAAAATAAAAGAAAGAGGACTCATGTCTAGAGTTGCCACCTTTTCAGGCTTTACATAAAGTATTTTTCGACTAAAAAGTTCAAAAAAAAGTACTCAGCATAAAAATAAGGTATTTGATTTTTTGTTTTTAAAAACGTATTTTTTGTTACACCTAGCAGCCAGTAACAAATTGCTGTTGCTCTTAAAAACATTAATAGATTCTAAACATGGCAAACAAAGATTTAAGTAAACTCAAAGTTCATTTTTAATTAGTTTTAATGAAGCTTTTTTCCTGTCGTCCCGCCACTTTGCGTTCATAACAGAGAATACTCTTTCTGTAAATGCTGAAGTGGCCGAAACGGATAGCAAAAGTGTCACTACGTTGAACAGATTTGGGAAATCAGGTTGTTCCGTAAATATGGCTTGCCATTTTTCTGTGCAATATTATTGATGTAAAAGTTCTCTTTCGAACAATCGCTTACAAAATTACGATGTTTACTTAAGGCCTTAAATAAAGTATTTTTGCGTACTTTATGTGTCTTGTAAAGTATAACGTACGCACAGTCGAAATAGAGTACAATACTTTACAATAAAGTACGGGTGGCAACCCTACTCATGTCTCCTACACTATTTTCAGCGTATTTCTGTATTCAAAGATAAAGTTTTGTTGACAACTATCTTATTTTTTACCTAATCAAAATCAAATTTTCTAAACTAATGTTCTAGTAGTACTCATGTGATTTATATAACTTTCATGTCATATGACTATTGCAATTTTAGTCACACGACCCCGTAGAACACGTATGTAAGGATGACGAAAAGCAAATATTTTCAATAAATGATTGCTCTCCTACTTTAACATATTAGAAAATAATAGTAAAAACCTGATCTGTTATGATCAGCGTGTTTTACAAATCAGCCAACATGAAATCATGTTAGTCACTTTTCGATTAACTAAACCTTCATTGCCCTCGTGGTTACAGTTTCATGTCTAGCATTAAGTCCTTCCTGTTTTTCATTTAATTCCTTCCCTAATTTGACTTAAACCACACAATATACCCTTTCACTTATTGAAACAATAATTTTCTTATTGACCAAGTACATACGTTAAAATTACTGGGGTCGTTGTTTGTAACATTTTAAGATAAAAAGCACTTAATTTACTCACCGATATCAATCTCTCTTTGTTGAAAATTCTATCTGCATTCACCATTTCACTCCATCAAATAGCACTTTGGGATGGTATGTTGCACTGCACAGGTTACATAACTGGAACAACGTGCTAGATGAAAATTACCGTGTTTACGACACGAAGGTTGAAGGTTAAACTAACCGACCGTGAATGAAAGTGGTTGGTCACTATCTAGTCAGTGTTGCGCATATCCTTGTAAAAAATTGAAGATAAGGAGACTAAGATTTGTACACACAGGGATCGTTAGCAAAACACGATTTATAACCTACTGAAAAAACTTTAGTGTGTCGAAAGACTAAATAAAAGTATAATCAGAAAATACGGTCTTTAGTATTCTGTATGTTTTAATATAAACTACTTAATTAAAGTCAGAAAACAAGCAAATTTGAGCAATTCTTTTGTACGGTTTAAAAAGAGGCCGAAACGCAGCGGATATAACGCTTACGAAGGTACAAAGCAGCGATGGTTTTCCAGGATTTGTGGTGTAGATGAAGGCGTTCAAGGTGAAGGAATTGTAAAAATCTTCTCACCCAATTCTATGCAATTTAGTTTAAACAGTTAATAACAGTGATAATGGTCTACGTTAAGTTCTTAGACAACGTCTTTAATCACAAGGATGTGATTTATTTGAAAAATGCAAATACAAAATTGAAAATAAGTACCTGTTTTTATCTTGCATTTAAATACTTTTTTGAGAAAAGCATTTTGTATTTTATTTAAAATACTTAGAATAATGAATGAATGAGCTTAAAAAGGGGCAAAGAGACGTTCCATGAATGCTTTCTAATTCCTGAAAAATTCTAAACTCCTTGGAAATGGATAATCTAAAGTATTGGATCGATATTGTTTTCCGGGTTCAGTGTCATGGTCCGTGGAATTTTGAAGTTCCTAATTGATATCAGCACCTGCCAAATCACCACTTATTTTATTTTCGCTGTGTATAACTGAAAACTTCAAGATATTGTGGTGTGCTAATAAATGCCTATAATCCAAAATTCTTAGAAAACGATTTGAAAAACTTCACTTATTAGATGAATCCATAGTTAAAGAAACTATGGATTCCATTTCTTTTTCTTATTACGATGTGTAAAAGATCGGAAGCAAAAAATGTTGATTTTACATCAATAATTATCTTCGCAGCTGGTAATAAAGTGCTAAACACCACTATTAGTCTAGAAAACTTTCAATATTAAAAAAAAAAACAAATGCCTGCAAGGTTTTCTTAAAAAATATTTTATACTTAAGTAAATGTAGAAAATTAAACCGGCATTACGAAAAACTATTTATTGGAAAAAAGTATTTTGAAAATACGTATTTTGCATTTAGCATTTAAAATACGAAAGGGAAATCTATTTTGTATTTTACATGTGAAGTAACAAATCAAAAAAGTATTTGCATTTTGTATTTAAATACTTTAAATAAACCATTTTGCACTTTTTTATTCAATTTGCGGTGTTAATTTTTGATGTTGTTCATCATCAAGTCATCCTACACCACAAAACCTGATGAACTTACGCTTCACTCGTTACTGTAAATTCGTTAGAAATTTTCGATCTAAATGCATTACTGATATGGTTATTGCTACCTTCAAAATTGCTTGATTTCAAACTTTAATTAGTAGATAGCCTTAAATAAAATTAATACTGATATTGACAATAAAATAGTTGTAATCAAAATAGATCGAAACACGATCAATTTAATAGTTTCTTACAGTACCTATCAGACAAAAACTGTAATTTTGACTATTTAATATATTCTGTAATTGCGCAGTTAGAATTTTCTTGCAAACTCAATTATTTCGATAAATTATAAAAGTACACGAGTATTACCTAATCACGCAATTCGTTGAAGTGCCTGTGTCTCAGATAAAGAATAATTACCCGTTTAATAAAAAAACGGCATATATATACTACGCAATTTATTGTAAGTAAGCTGTTGCTAATGTTTACTTTGTGTCTAAAAAATGATGAACAAGTGCTGCAATTTAGATAAAGACCACTCACGCGATGTCAATTTCATAAAGATATTAAGGTATTGAAATTATAATTGTTCGAAAAATAATTGAAATAATAATCTTTACAGGCATAGAGAGTCATAAACGATAATTAATTAAATTAACTGAGTTAAAAATTGTATCATTATGGAAAGAATGCGATTGCAGCAAGTTGTTATTCATCATCACAATTATCTACCTGAGTTTTTAAAGTTTAATCGTTAAATGCGTATTCACTTGTACAAGAGCAAATAATGAATGAAAAAACAAACAATTTACATTATTGGAAAAAGCATTTAGAATTGAAAGCCTAAATAAGCACTAACCTATTCTGAAAATCATTTTAAGAAATATTTGCATGTTTAAAAACTTACCTTTTTAATTTTTTACGATGCAGCATTGTGATGTTCATTGAATGATGTTACGTTCTTCATGTTTCGAAAATCTAACGTTTTCTGTTTTTTTTTTGTATTTACAGTCTTACTTAATATATCATCAGTTTTAATTTCACAAATAACTATTTTTCAATTTCACTTAAATGTTCAAATTTTCCGAGAGATAACATGCCTTTAAAGACATGCTTTGTAAAATTTTGGCTTCATCCTTCACTGTATTATATGATTTTTTCGAAAGTGAGTGAGTCTAAACACTGGCCAAATGTTTTTAAATTTATGATACAGCTCCTATCATTTTCTTTTGCTTTATTACTAGTACGAATTCAATTAAATAAAAAAAAGTAAAAAAAAAAGAAAAAAAAGTAAAATTGAGAGAGCTTTAATATTTCAACACAGTTCACATGACATGTATCTATACATTAAGGGGTTGAGTATTACACCGATAGACATGAATTATATACAGATGCGTAGACACGCACGCATCAAAATGCGCAGAAGCGCAAGCACACGTGCGCATGTATGCCAATACTGTGTGAAAGGGACTAAAAGCCACCATAATCTTGTGTGTGGTGGCACTGATTCGGCGGTGTACTCCTACATTTTTCTTTTGTTAAGGCAGAGGGGTTAAGGGAAGGCCAAACAATCATATCATCAACCCAGGAACTGCGGGACAAGCTACGTCCAGAGATTCAGTCAAGCTTAGCAAAAAATTATTACGATACGCTTCCGCGCCTGCGCGGTGAGGTATAAAAGGCGCCCGCGCCTTTCACTGCCGCACACGCCACCATTGCTGAACCTTCTCGGTGAGTTTTCTACAAAGTCCCAGCAGCCTCCGTCACATCGGAGCTTCCGCTTCTGCCTCGCCTTCTTCAAGCGTCACTTGGAAGCGGATACCGGGCCGTTGTGAATCGAGAGCTTCCTCGGGGGGCGGACTAGGAGGAATCATGCTTTGGTACCAGTCACGATTTTCTTCGAGGGTATCTAGGATATCTTGTGCGTCGGGGTGAACTAGATCGGCCCACGTTTCCCACAGGGGGTGGACGATATAATCTATGAAACCTACTTGTGACTTTTCTATTGTGGCCGAATGACGGTCGCACATTGGACTAATTTCCATTTTGGCTTCGCGCTCGCGATCCCCTTGCAAGAAGAACTCTTCCATTAGGAGATCGACCCAGCGCTTGTACAGCGGTAACGGCTTCGTGGGATTGCTTAAGTCTGCACAATGAACTAAATTCTCCAACACCTGAATTCGATCGGTATAATTATCTAAAAGAAGAACGCCAGATCCGGCAACCTTTTTGGTCTCGACCATAGTCTTTAAATCGGCTAAAAGACTCATGTGCTTCGACATGTCAGTGCTTAAAACCATATCGATTACCATTTTCCTAAGGGTCTGACGTTGCTTCTTGCTCATATTACAAAATATGTCGCAGCCTTCGTTCTGAAGGAGTTTAAAAGCCACAGCCAGATGATGATTTTCTAATACACTCTCGTCGTTATACATCAAAGCCAGTTCGGAGCTCGAATTAATAAGAAATTGATTTGTGAGGCCGGGATGATCAACATCGTGAATGCATGCCGCGAAAAGTGCGGCAGTGACCTCCAGGGGCGTGAAAACCGATTCGAGCGCCGGAGTATTCAATAATACGTGAGTGCTTTGCGTTACGTCAGCGGCATGAAGCGAATTATGGAACGGATTATCCTTTACGTAATGATCTTCTAAGGTCATCATGAATGTGATGAAAGTTTTCTGGGGAATCATTAGTTGTTTCATCAGATCGCGAGATGTGAAAGTCATGTACGCGACGCAGGTCAACGGACGTCCGTTACTGAGCTCTCCTATGCGGAATATGTCCACTCCCCACTTGTCTATTTCCGTGAGGCACTTGCCCAACTCTTCTTCGTGTGGCGTTTCGACTCCGTATACAGGAAGTCGTTCTCCCGTGAAAGAATTCGTATGACATAGCGGCTTTTTGTTGATGCCCGAAATTTGGGACATGGGAGTCGCTGCCGACCGACTCGATCTGTCTTTGCGTTGTGCATTTGGTTTTTGAACGGCTTCATTGCCTTCGTCGAGTCTTAAAGACGGTATGTCAAGTTCTTGTTGTTTGTCTGTAACAACGAAAAGCGCCTCTGTTAGCATAACTTAATTCAAATGGCGAAAGAAAATCTATTTAATTTCGTATGGTAGCATTTCATACCACATTGAATTATCTTATACCTATTTTATTGATAGCTTACCTAAGAATGTTGAACAGATGTATTCTGATATTTGGTTTCCAGATTTGCTAGATTCAGAGAAGTGAGACAGTTCCTTATTTAGCATACGTTTGAACTGTAACAAAAGAAAAGAACATTAGATTTCATTGTTGAGGAAATGATTATGATGTATTTGTAAACGAAATGTGTTTTGGAATCGGGAAAAATTCTAGCAATTAATGCGAGAAGAGTGTTATATCATTGTCGCGGTAAACCGACGACCTCAGAAGGATGGTTAGACCGATCTAAAACGTTAATGACCTGCAATTCTCTGGGTATAGGTCATGAACAACTCGTTGAAACATTTCCGTACACGACACCTACTTCATTATGTATTCGATGGGTGTGTAGGGTCCTTTCGAAACAACAGTCTTTATCTAATATTGCAGATTGCAAAACGAGAAAGAATGCCAGGAAGGTCAACAATCACGACGGCGTGTCGTGTTCCCACTAGGACGGTCGCGACTTTAACTTTTCTTTTGAAATAAATATTGTATAAATAAAAAATCTCTAGTTACGTAGACGTATTGTGTATTGAAATATGAAAAGTACGATAACCCCTGAAGCAGTCATCCATACTAATTGCAATCTTGACACCAATTTATCGAAACGGCATTTCAAACATTAGTTTCTTTTCCTCAAGTGCTTTCGAAATTCTCTGAATTACAACAGTCATATCTATCTAACGTCATAAGGTAATTAAACTAATTGCCAAGTCGACGTCCGATCACAAAAAAATCAAATCACACAATAGGTATTTAATAGTTTTCACTAATGACGATCGATGGACTTATTCATTCTAGTTCTTTGAAATTGGTGTATTGTAAATTGATTTTCAGGTATAAACGTTTTGCAAAAAAATAATAGATTGTGACAAAACTGCTTCAAGGTTATCTGATAAAACGATCAATTATCAAACCATTCCAATCCATGGCAAGTAGTTACAAAAAGTCAAATAGTAGGTATGCGCGAAATTATTTTGCAATATTACAAACGAGTAAGTGATTTTCTTACGTTAATCTAAATCTTTTAATCGTTTTAATAAAAACCTTTTCGATTTTAAATAAAAATAATATATGAGTCAGTCATGTAATATACTTAACGAATAATGTTGCAAGACAAATTAATTACGTGTGAAACTTGATGACAAAGAAAAAATCTTGGGGAAAATTTTTTAAAAAAATGACTTAAAAAGATTTGAAAGTCGAGTATATAAAGAATAGTAAAGTTAATCGAAATAAAAATCATTCTTAATTGCAAAATTATTTTCAAAGTACCTTCATTTCGGCGACTGCGGCAGTAATGGCTAAATCGACCATTATATTAACCCAGGGCAGACTTTCAAAAAGTTTTTCCGCTTCGGGTGGAACTCGCGAAATCAAATCTCCTTTAGACAATCCTCTAACTAACACCCCTTTACGGGACACACCGTTATTTGCATCGGATACCATTGCAAACACCAATAGGCATTAAAAACTATTTTTTGTTTTGTTATAATACGTCTTTGGCAACAATTATCACTATTTATTAAATTTCACTAAATCATAAATCCACTAATACGGACGTACAACAAATACTTTTAACAGGCACTAGAAGACAGGTACTAAGTACAACATCAGCACACCAGAATATCGTTTATAAAATTTTCTTTAACTTCTACGGTTCGCGGTGATAGCTTGGCTAACGATTTCAAGCTTTTCAGGCTTGCAACGATCGCCAACAATTCACGATGAACAATGAGCGCAACCGTCTCGCGGTCGAACTTAAATACGTAATTTTTCGCGCGATAGAACCGCCTCCTTTATAACGTAGGTTTTCCACGTACGTTTTATGTATCCTAGTTTTCAGCTCGTGCTCCGTATGTTCTCATCCTCAGTAAACTCAAAAACAGACAACGAAGCGCACGCTTATCAACATATTGTCGTATTGCGATAATATACATTACGTGCTCTTTTTCTCGTTTTCTGCTTGATTTACTGTCTGCGTTATCAGCAGTAAATCGAATCTCTTCGTTGCCTGCTTGTTTTGTTCGTTGATATCAGTTTATCGTTTTTGTTTACTATTCAGTTCCAAATATTGAAATGGGACTACGGATGTTGCACTTGCACCTAATAAATAATATGTATACGTATAGGTACCTACATACAGACGAAGCAAACATTTGTTTACCGTTTGTTTGGGTGGCCCACTTAGATACTACGAGATTAGTCATTATTTTTCCGGAAACGTTGGGAAATTGTTGGTGGCGTAGAACAAATCGCACGTAGGAGTTTTGTTTTTCTAATAAGCGCACACACTTACGTGCTTTTTTCTTAAAAATGCTATTGAGTACGATTTTTTCTTTAACAATTATCATTCCTTAGGGCACAGGGTATGAAATTATAACTTAAATAGAAATATTTGTTTCGTAATCAACCACAAAGCGAGTTAGAAACTACATATTAGTAATGAGGAGCTTTCTTGGAAGTGTTATCAGCGTTTTTGGATCAAAAATTTCCAAAGCGGTTGTCACTATATAAGTACTGGCTAGCAGAAATATGAGTATGGCTTCACTGCAGCCTAGATTTCCGGGATTTCCATACCCACCTGGGAAATCATACTTTTATTTTTTCATGTCTTATATGTCGATGGATCTCATAAGCCCAAGCTCTCAATCACCCGATAACTCTATGCTGTACGATTAATTTTAATTCGACAAACAGGTGATAACGTAAACTCAAGCTGCTAACAACCCTACATTCCAGCATTTATTTTAAAAGATTATTTGCTAGATGTGATTGAAACAATGGATTTTACCTCATTAATAGATATTTTTATTGAAAAAAAAATCAATATTAGAAAGTAAATATTTGCTCTTGTAAAAAATATTAATTAATTCATAAAAAAAAAAATTGCGGGCTCGCGGGGTGTTCCTTTTTTTGTGTTTGATATAAGCTGACCAGGACCAGAAAAGGAACATCCGACAGAGTAGTGTCTACGAACTTGACATTAATTTTACATTATATTAATACTAGGTGCTGGGTGTCACCTGCGACTTCGTCTAAGTTAAAATCGATTATATTACAAGCTCTCATTTTGTACTTTTAAGGGTGGTGTTTTGAAAATTAATTTTACAGTAGATGATACTGTTGTACCATATATGAAACTTTTGTGCAAAATTTCAAGCTTCCAGGGGTTTAATTTTAACAAAATCCTTTCTTAGTGTTCGCCTATGTTGTATAAGAAACGTCTTTACAAAATTATAAGTCTGGACCGTGGGGTTCAGGCTGTGGGTTGTTATATTAGTCAGCCAGTTCACCCTGCCTATAAACATAACGCGAATAACGAGGAAGGGGGAGTGCAGCCAGAGGTCGTGGTACGTGGGGGGGGGGAAGTTAATGTTATTATTATTGGAAATTACAAAACGTTTTTTTAGAATAGGCTTAAAATTTGTACAATTCACGTGTTACATAACGGAATTAAAGACACGTGTTGCGGTTCCGTTACCCCTTACGTAGAGGAAGGGTTAAAAACTGACGAATTTTGCCAATGATAGTCTATTAACATTATTCATCAAATCTATTAATGTTGTAATTTCTATCATTAATAAAAATAAAATAGAATGCATTTATTTTGGTCCGATGTATGTGTATTTAGTATCTGATGATATTAAAATTATTTAAAATTTTGTTTAGTTGTAAAACGCCTATAGTCAGCAAAAGGATCGTAAACAGACTTTGCATTAACAAAAATAATAACAATAAACATAATTTGATGGACGTGTGTTGAAAGCAACATGTTTCCCATTTTTCACGGAGATTAACGGATTGTTTTCCTGAAATATTGGTAGCCGATGATTAAACGTGGTTATTATGAACTGCTGTTGTTTGTGCATTTTCGCAATTGGTGTTTACTCATTTCGGAAATGCTATCTAGGAAATGTGGGTGTACCTAATAAGAACAAAATAGTCGCTATTGGCAACCTTTCTTTATGTATATACTCCATTCAACATTGGTAACGCTGTTAAATTTCAGGACAGGTGATAATACACATATATGTGGCAATTTTTCGAAAATAATCGATTTAATCCTATTTTACGGTTAGATAGGTACCTTTGTTGAAAAAATGTCCTTGAAGTTATTATTTTTTGATACAGATCAGTTTTGAAATGGGTAAAATTTCCGGTATATATACATACATATAAGAGAAACTATATAAACGACTAATTGTAAATAAATTCACTTTTTTTATTAATATTACTATTTCTAACCAACTGTAAAAAGAACTTTCTCTTTTAATTGAAAATTGTTTGCTAACTGTAGCTTTATTACGAACAGAATTCACGATTCTTCTTGTATCAAAAATGTTTCGCCAAAATCCTGACTTCTTTGGATGGATTCAAGGACACAACTGCTACTAGGAAAAATTAATAGTATTTTTGTTCATTAACACTCCAGTTCTGATTTCAGCAGGACTCAATTTTATCATCATTATAAACGGAAAATGTCGCTTAGAGGTTATCCTGACAATATTTCCTTTTTGAGTATTTTTACACTTCCATCTCATATCATTATCGCAAGTTGAAACACTTTCTGATACATTAGTATCTATGTAATAAATTAGTCAATTAAAAAATAAAGGGAGCAATTAAAACGCGCATTAAGGGTAATTTTCCATCATCCTCAATTTAGCATAAAGGATTTCCTTAACGAATTCTAATAAGTTTAAACTTCACAGTTTAGGTCGTGTCCTTTTTTCTTATATTGTTTTAAAATTATTTTGAAATGAATTAGTAAATGTTAATATCATATGTCAAGAAGGGAGCATTGGAGTCAATTGCTTAGATTTTTTTTGGATGCTTAATACATTAATGTAAAATTTACAACAAACAGGTTTTGTTAGACATCCTGCAGGATTAAGTATGCATAATCCTAACAATTCGATTGTTTTACTAACTTCCGTTTTTTAGCATGTACAATAATTAATTATGCATACAATGGTATCTATACATTATTAGTAATCGTTGTACCTGCCTAAGCTTTAATGGACAATCGTGTTATTGAACCGTTTTTGATCCACTTATTTTATTAATTAAA